CCACTCTTGTCGTTGGCCAAAGTAATCAAATACTTAAATTAAATTATGCAAAAGTAATTACATAAAACCAAAAGTAGCCTTTTTATTTATTCTTTAAGGTTTTAGAAAGAAAGTCCATCTGGTCCAAGTTTAAATTGAAATGCTAACAGAATGCTTGGTTGTATACGGAGAGGTATTAGCAGTAGAAAGAGGGAAGAGCTCATGCCATTGTACAGAACACTGGTGAAACCCCACTTGGAGTATTGTACGCAGTAGTGGAGACCGTATCTTCAGAAGGATATTGATACTTTGGAAAGAGTTCAGAGAAGGGCTACTAAACTGGTTCATGGATTGCATAATTAAATGATCTTAACATGTATAGCTTAGAGGAAAGATGAGACAGGGGGGATATGATAGAAATATTTACATACATAAAGTAAATCAATACAGTAAAGGAGGAGACTATATTTAAAAGAAAAAAACAACAACACGAGGACATAGTCTTAAATTAGGATGGCAAAGGTTTAGAAATAATTTCAGGAAGTATTACTTTACAGAGAGGGTAGTGGATGCATGGAATAGCCTTCCAGATGAAGTGGTAGAGGTTAACAAAGTGAGGGAGTTTAAGCATGCGTAGGAAAGGCATAAGGCTATCCTAGGTTTACAATAAGGCCAGGGACTAAAAAAGGATTTAGAAAATTGAGCAGACTCGATGGGCGAAACTGTTCTTATCTGCTGTCACATTCTATGTTTCTATATATATTTATTAGATTTTTTTTTAAGTTATCTGGTTTATTACCCTTATAATACCAATTTCTTTTTAAGACTTCCTGTTAATAATGCTTTATTGATAGCTTTTTCAATAGCATTTATTTTCTGAGCAATTTTTTTTAGTAGAGGTATCTTTATTCTGAGAACTAAGTATGTCTAAGTTAACATATAATTCTGGCAATTGTGGAGTTCTTATTTTCTTTTCATGTGCACCTATTTTTCTCAAGTGGCACCAGACGACACTCTTTTTATGAGCACCAGACATTAGCAAACGGAACCTCATTGTTACAGTTTTCGTTAAAAAAAATCTAAAAAATCTGTTGTCTGTTTCAGAGACTCTACATGTTGGGTTTTATTTAATAAATGATCATTCATCCTCCATGAGGAGCATTTTTTAAATAAAATTATTTTTTCATATGTAGCAGGAGTGCATTATTATCCACCCATGGAGTCAGATTTTTTTTTTCTAAATTCTTTTAGTTAAACCAATATTAGCCATTATAATTTTTTTCTAAATTCTTTTAGTTAAACCAATATTAGCCACTATTCTACAATATGTAAAACATTTTTAGAAAACATGTTTAATCTCTTGTATTTGGATTGTGCACTCGCTATAAATCTAGTAAAGCATTTTAAAACTAGTTCTCTTAATTGTTTAGCATTATATTTCTATTGTTAAAATTCTCATTATAAGAATTATAAGTGAAGTGTCCATTAGGCAGTTAAAAACATCCCCCTGCTTGATCCTTCAAACTCTATTTCCTACTTTTCTTTTTATAAATGTATGTAACAATGTAATAGGAGCATGGTTAGGTGCATGTAGATTAGCTATCATAGAAACATAGAATGTGACGGCAGATAAGAACCATTTGGCCCATCTAGTCTGCCCAATTTTCTAAATACTTTCATTAGTCCCTGGCCTTATCTTATAGTTAGGATAGCCTTATGCCTATCCCACGCATGCTTAAACTCCTTTACTGTGTTAACCTCTACCATTTCAGCTGGCTATTCCATGCATCCACTACCCTCTCACAGGGCCAGATTAAGAGCCCAGTTGGCCTGGTGCTGACAATTATGATGGGGCCTAACTACAGAATCTTATCGACCAAACACACTAAAACAGTCATATCTCTCAAGAGTCATGTATCTG